TTGAACCAATACAGTAGCTTAGTAACCACATTAAACATTAAATTATGCATTCCCTATGACTATGTGGAACCTTAATTGAACTCTGAGATATTTAAAAAAAACTACGGGCATTTCCAAATTCATGGCGTACAATGATAGACAAAAGAAACAATATCCAAGGATACACCAGACCAACAATATTGTATTATGTTCACCCTTCCTGTTATTTTCTGAAAAACTTTCTCTGTCGCTCTCTCTCTCTCTCTCTCTCTCTCTCTCTCTCTCTCTCTCTCTCTCTCTTTCTCTTTTTAAACCCTAAATTGAACACAATCATTCAGCTATTTAAGAGCTGTTCATTGAAGATGAATTTACTAATTTTGAATATTTTTAACTCATTAAAAATACCCACCTGAATACCTACGTTAAATTTACTCTTTGTTCAGCTCCGCTCCGTTGCATACTTCTACCTCCTAATTTACATTATGTCTAGCCTAGTAAACTAGCCCCACCCACCAGCGGCCAAAATCATTTTTGCCTGCAAGCTGGTCTAGCGTCAATCAGTACCCCAGGCCCTAAATCTGGCGGGCCAATCACAATGCAGAGATGTGTTTTAAATGTCTGGATGCAAAACGGGCGGGGTTTCGAGGGCGTGATAACGAAGCTGCACGACGCTGTAGAAAGCACAACAGTAAAATGCACTGCTGCAGCAGCAGCTTTCAATGGAGCGCTCCATTAAAAGTAAACGTGCTCTTTCTGTTGTTCAATAAAAGCACGTTTTAAGATAAATTGAGGCAAGAATATTATACTTAAAAGCATCACTATATGGTCCATTTACCGATTTAATGCGTCATTAAAAAAATTCCGAAGTTGAGAGGATCGCGGCAACCAGCGGAGCTCCAAAGCTAAGGGCAGCCAGGGCTGACCGCAGCCCATCTATAGCAACCCTCTCTCGGCATAGTCATGTGTAAAGGACCGCTGGCTCTAATGACGATTTTTGACTCAGCTTTGGAATCAGTTTTGAAAGGATTACACTTGGAGTTTTCGTTGAAACGTGAGCAGGAAGAGGCTTTACGCTTATTCATTTTTAAGAAGGATGTATTTACCGTTTTATCAACAGGCTGTTTTTTACACTCACCCACCAGCTTCATGTCGTGCTTACTACGTCACAGTCAGTTGCGCTCATTGGTCAGAGCGTTGGCCAATAGGCACAGGCATGATTTGAAAACCAACGGGTTATTCTCATCAACAACTTTCCGATGTCTCATTCATCGGGGCCAGATTAAATAACACCTTTCATCTCCCATTTAGTCTGGGTTACCGGGCTACATTATGTCTGCTCTGCAGAGGTGCAACGCCCACACGAGCTCCGAGGAGCAACGCACAGATTTAGCTTTAAAAGGCAGTGAGCAATTCAGGATTCGGACCACAACAACTCCTTCTATGGATTTTTTAGGTGGCTAAAACTTGCTCGCTTTTTGTTTTTGGGCATCCAGATTATTTTTGGAGTCTCACACCCCTTTTCCAACCTGGGAACAATCTACTTTTTGTGGCAGTGGGAACGGCTGACCCGTGTCGACCTGTGTCAAACTACTTGGCAAGCGACTTGGTTAAAGCCCCCCTCAAACACCCCGGCTTCAATCGGAATACAGTGGGAACATCTACCCGCTAATGTATGCGTAACGTACGATAAACATGCTGCCGCATTGGTGAGACAGATTCGGAGGGAAGAACCAAACAATAAAGAACACTTACTACTCGATGGTTCATTTCCCTGTAGCTCTCATTGTTTAATTTCCTGATTTCTTTCAAACTGATGACATCATCAACGCTAACCCAGCATGATGGCATCACTGGACACACAGCAGTGGAGGCAGTTAGAGGACACAGATTGCCATTGTGGTTTTAGACCAAGCATTTTCTGCGGATTGGAATGGAGCTAAATGCCAATTGTTAGCAGTTTGAGCCGTGATTGTTTGCTTTTTTGACAAGCTGAAAATGATCCGATTCTAGTCAGCAACCCTCTGTACATCGATTTCTCTGTACATCTTTGCATACAAACAATGTATCCTGTGTATCCTCAAAACTGTGACCATTAAATTTAAAAATAATAATGATAACCCATGCTGTGGGTGGGTTGTACTAAATTAGCAGACGAATATTATGATTTTTTTCTTATTTTTTATTTTACATTAATTAAATGATGAAAATGTGGTTTTCATACATAGCAATCTAGAATAATTCACCTAACGTAAACTTTTTAAAGCCCTAAGAGATGGTCACATTGCTAGGGTCTGGCAGCAATGTGAATTCCTCTCGCTATTGTTAATAGGCGACTCTTATTGGCCCTTTGTGTTTATTGTCTGATTGACTTGGCCCCCGCTGGGCTCTAGGACGATTGTTTGCTTTCGCTGTCTGCCTGGGGAAGTCCCTCTTCGTCTCAAACAGGTCCAGTTACAGTATGTAACACAAAGTTCAGAGGATGCCCGCGCCTTCCTGGTGTGGTGCTGCATCTTCCTGTCACAGATCACATGCGTTTGTCAGAAATGCAGGTCACTTTTTTACCCGTAAAGATTTTTCTTTTCTCATATAGGCCACTTTGTTAAGTAATAGCAACAAGTGAAGTCTCAGATCTACTCTATTTTAGTCAGAGCCAGATTGTGGGTGTGCTGGCCTAAGAAAGGAAAGAGAGGTTAGATTCAGCATGCTGTTGAGCAGACATGGCAAACGACTCAGAGTGTGGTTTGGCAGAATTCTTACTGAAACCAGAAAAAAAAAGTCACCCAAAAACTGACAAGGAGTGAGCTCCCCTCAAATGAGGACAAAAGAGAAGCAAACAGTAGTTCTTGCACATGTGAACTGTTCAGTAAGGAAATGCAAGGAGTTATGCTACTCCTGTTCTGGTTGCCAACACACCTAATGAGTCTGTCAGGGCCAGTTAGCACAGCCTGGCCTGCTTGTGTCTCCTCCAGGCCACAGACAGCTGTTATTGGCCCTGTAGTGCAGCATGTCATAGGGCTGGATTAGGCTGGCAAACAGAAAAAATATCAAACATTCAATCACTGTTGCTTCTTCACTGTTTAAAGTAGCTATTTTAAAGACCTTCATTTAGCAGTTTCTAACCATTTAACCAAGAAGCCTAAAAATAAATAATGACAGATGATGATTGGCTGCTATATCCTCTGTGAGTTTCAATATGTAAAATTTGTTTAAAAAAACAAAAAACAAACAAAAAAAAAAGATAGATTTGCATAATTGCTTGAAAGGACATTGCAGGGTTATTTTTGATTATGCTTTGTCATTATTATGCAACCTATATCGACAAAATGGTCCCTTTTGCTTACTCATCTGTTTTTCAAATTATAATGAACACAGGAAATCAAAATAGAGTACAACAAGCACTCTAAATCTACTTTTCACAATAACCTTCAGAGGACAATACTGGGGTGGAATCAAATGTTTATTTGTAGAGAGTAACTAAAATACTGCCATTGTATGAAAAGTGAGCAATTTTATAAATTAATTTCAGTAACATGCCATTAAGCGACCATTAAATTTCTCTTAAATAAAGAGAAAAAAAGTTTGTACAACTTCACAAAACTAAGCTTTAAATATACATATACTGTATATATATATATATATATATATATATATATATATATATATATATATATATATATATATATATATATATATATATACTCACTGTAAAGAATAAATAGTATCCTGTAAATGATGATCATTCGGGTTGCTGCTTTACTTTGAACTTCACTTAGGCCTGGTAGACTGTATTTGTTTTGGTAGAATGTTTTTCGATAAGCAAGACGCAATGAAGCCTGGGTCAGGTGACTAACGAGAGATAAAAGGCAAAGCCAGAAATGGTCTAATAGTTTTCTCTCTTACCTAGCTGTTAAAAGTAAGGGGGAAAAAATTATATTTCATTTATATGTATGATTACATGCAGATTAGTTTGCCTTTTGTGTCCATGTGAAGTGTAAGGTGAGAAAAAAAAAAACTAAAAAAGAAAATATATATATATATATATATATAAATATTTCAAAAGGTGAATTAATGAAAGTGAAGCAAGTATTGGTAGAAATTAGAATTTAAGCATTAATGACCTTTTTTTTTTACATCAAGCTCATCATTTTAATGTTGTTTAACCAATAATGGACAAAAAGAATAACTTATCAGTATCTGTTTTAACCAAGGAGCCAACAGGAGCAAAACTTGCCCCATAGAGGATAACAAATTTTGTCAATTAACACGTATAAAAGGACACTGATGCGCTGCAAATCAGGTAAAAGCAGTTGAAAAGGAGTGAAGAGCAATGATAATGTGAGAATAACAGAATATCAAGGAGTCTCAGAGGTGCAGTGAGGTGCTCATATTTGAGAGGGAAGTGAGGAGGGAGATAATGAGAAAGGAACGTGATAAAGGAGGTGAGATTTGAATTGAATCCTAGGAGGTACTTATGCTGCGGCTGTGGTCCTCGCTGTCAACCATGCTGAGCTACCCATGTTTTTTTCCCCCTTTTTCTTTTTTGCTAAATAATTAGTTTCCCAACTAGTGAGAGCCTTCTGCCCCATTTTTTTAGGTTGAGTTTTATGGCAGGGAGGAGCCAGAAAAACTAAAACCTCATTCACTCTAATTATAGGTTGTGCAACATATAGAAAATATAGAGTCGGTCAAGAGGAGCCTGGCTACCAAAAAAAACCCAAAACGCAACAGCTTAGAGAAATTAGTGCCGCTGTATGGGCCAGACATATGCAGTTATTATGCATGGTAGATCACCGTGATCTGAAGGGATTTAAAACCATCAAAGTGGAGACTCTGTGGTTTGGCGAAAAAATACTGAATTTATCTGAAGATTCCTGCATATCTGATTTGAAAAGAAAGATTTTTTGGAACTTTGGAAAATGATCATATTCAAGAAATCATCTATTTCAGATTGTGCTGTAATTGAGACATCTATTTATAAAATCCAGAGAATCTATAAGATTGTTGTCTTTCTGCCTCCACAGAACAGATACCCTGCCGGAGATAGAGGCGTGAGGCTCTACAGTTCCCTGCCCATGCGCCCAAACCCTGATGGCAAGAGGCTGCCCTCTACTGGGGTATGAGTCATTTCTCTTACCCCGCCTCTCCACCACCCCTTCCCCCCTTTACCCTTTGGTCAAGCATAATCTTGAATATCACAGATGCAGTAAAATGTTTTAACCTTGCAGATATGAAACCTCTTATGAGGAAATCTTTATCGTTGATAGGAACGTTCTGTATCAAAATAATTCAAATAACAGGAAAAAACATCCGCTTGCACAACTTGATCAAACTGTATTTTCTTTTGGAAACAAACACCAAGTATATCAAATCAAAATGTAAACCGTACAGATAAAAATCTAAGCTTGCTCCATTGACTCAATGTGTTTTAGAGCCAGCTTAGTCTACATTTCAGAGTGTTGTGCAGCCTAAACATGAAAGTTTGCCATAGTTTAATGTCTTTGGCAAACTGTGATGGGATTTTCATACAGGATTCTCCTCTATTTAACTTCCTATCAGTTCTGATTAGCTTCCATTTTCTGGCTAATAAAAAGCATCCCCTAAGCATAAGGCCATGAGCAGCTTGTTTTGCTGTGTTAGTTTTCCGCCACATCCATTCTGGGTGTAGGCCATTTTCCCATTTCAGACAATGAACTCAACACTGCTGTCTGAGCTTTAGATAATGTTTCATGAATTAATCCTCAGAGGGTTTTGAAATGTTTTCACGACCTAAAATATTTTATTCAGTAAACCTTGCACTCACATGCCAGTGAGTGCAGCTTTAAAACTCCACTCATTGGCATTGCATAAGCATTGCGGTTTTTATTATGACTGCTCTGGTTTTATGCGATTTCATCTTTATCTCAGAGTTTTCATTTTGGACACTGTCTTCAGTTCAGTGTGGATATTTCCTGAATGCTTTAGATTGAAAGCCAATCCTATGTTAGCAGTGCCCTGTCGACACCTAGACATGACACAGAACCTAGTTATAAAACTATACCAAACTGTCCTGTTTGCAGATGGAATCAATCCAACCTGGCTGACCTTTCTTTTACACAGAAAAACGTAAAAAAATAAAATAAATAAAAAAGGATTTGGTCTGTTAATACCAATAAAGACATTATCAAAAATGACAGCTTGCACTCCACACTTTTCAGATTTTTGTTTGCCAAATACAACTATTTTAATGTCTTTCCACATCTATGCAATATTTAAATCTGCCATGAAATACGCATAATCCCGAAGAGAATCATACTCATGTTTATGATATGATTTATATATAAAAACGTCCCAAGGCGAACAATTATTCATGTAAAGCACTGGATATTTTTTTTTTTTTTATCTTCCCTCCATTATTTAGTAACCTGATTACTGTGCACAAATGTGTCTGAGTGAAAAATTCTGTCCCATATGACAATTTCATCTGTTCAATTGTACTTACAATTCCATTCTAGTTTGTGTTTTATATCAAGAGTTGCTTTCCAAAAAGACCTTTAATGCAGGTGACGAAATGCATTTGATGCAAGAGCCCTCCCCCCAACAACAATCTGCTGCCTCAGGCATGATTGGAGCACAACATATAAAATAGGGTTATGTAGATAAAGCAAAGCAATCTATTTTTTATTTTTTTCACAATTTCTTTAGTTTTGCAAAACCGTTTTATAATAGCTCCATTTGAACATCAAGGCCTCATTTTCACTTATCTCGATACATAAGTGTTCACAAAGATACCGAAAAAATTAACGTTTATTGAAGTTGCTGCATTTGCAACTCTTTGACTTTGACAAAGTGCTGTAGCAGTCAGATGTTTGTGAAACCTCTCTTTCATTCTTTTTTAAATATATAAAAAAATCTTTTAGCATCGTAAAAAAAAAAAGGAAAAAAAAATCATAATTAGAATCTAGCTCGCCTTGCTTTTATGCATTTATGTAACAAAGGAGAGAAAATGGAAGAACAATGGAGCAAAAGTAGGGAATTTAATTTCCCCCGTTTTTTCATGTTTCATTCTATACAAGTGCTTTTTGAATTATCTCCTGGGTGCTCCAGGGCTCAGCGAGAGGAAGAGTGGGTGTGCTGGGGAGTGGGGGGATGGGGCAGGAGAGAGAGAAAGAGAGAGAGAGTGAAAGAAGACAGACAGGCAAAGTTAAAATAAAGCAATGTAATATTGTTGGTGTGCACCTTTTTTAATTACAACCCAGATTGTATTGATGTCTCTGGCTACATGTCCTAAATCATTTATCGAGAAAGGGAGAGAGAGAGTGCTAACAAAGCACAAAGTCCTCCATCTCACAGGGGCTCGAATCATATGTTATCTGCAGTGAATATTGTTCATGTTTTTCAGTGAAGAGACCTACTTACAAATCATGGGAATGAGCTCCATGTCAGGACATTTTGAGGCAGTGAAGATATAAATCTACCCTCATCTGATATCCCCTTCTGCAAATTACACTTCATCTAAAACTGAATGTGGATGGTGTTTTTGAAGCAAATTTATGGATAACAAATATATATATATATATATATATATATATATATATATATATATATATATATATATATATATATATATATATATGTATTTGTGCAATACAACAAATGCGTCTAAATCGTCTGTTTTACAGTACAGAAGAGATTTAAAGATAACATCTCTGGTGCAGATTTGCAAAAGGAGAAGCTGTGTGATATTTTATCCCCCCCTCTTTGGTTATCTGTCATTTCCTTTTGTCTGTTATTACCTATGCGTAAAAGTCTGTACAGTAGCACACTGTAGCTACAGGCTGTATGGAGAGGAGAGGAGAATATAACCACTTAACATGCAGAAGGAAACCAGACGTTTTTCCATTGCACTTATCAGGTGCTGCGGTTAGAGCAAGTGTCAAGGTGCAGTAGGTCTCTGCAATACTCCCC